TATGTTAAGAAAAAAAAAAGATAGCAGGAGGGGAAGAATGAAGGGGAGTAAATCGGAGGGGGAGACGAACCATGAGAGACGAAGGACTCTGAAAAACAAACTGAGGGTTCTAGAGGGGAGGGGGTGGGGTAATGGGTTAGCCTAGTGATGGGTATTAAAGAGGGCACGTTCTGCGTGGAGCACTGGGTATTATGCCCAAACAATGAACCATGGAACAGTACATCAAAAACTAATGATGTAATGTATGGTGATTAACATAACAATAAAAACTTAAAGAGAAAAAAAAAGAAAGCGATCCAGTTTCATTCTTTTGTATGTCACTGTCCAGTTTTCCCAGCACTTATTTGTTGAAGAGACTGTCTTTCTCCCATTGCATATTTTTGCCTCCTTTGTCGAAGATTAGTTGACCATGTAATTGTGGGTTTTTCTGGGCTTTCTGTTCTGTTGAGACCTGAAATTTGTTTTGGAGTAAGGTTTTTTAATTATAGTTTAAATTTCTTTGATTGTATTGTTATTTAGATTTTCTGTTCTTGCATTATTTTGGAAAGTTGTGGTTTTTAAGGAATTTGTTCTTTTATCTATTAAGGCAGATTTATTGGTGTAAAGTTATTCACAGTATCCCATATTCTCTCTAGTGTCTGCAGTACCTGAAGTTATTTCTTCTTTTTCATTCCTAATATTAGTAATTTGTATTTTTTCACCTTTTTTTCATCAGTCTTGCTTGGGGTTTATCAAGTTTATTACACTTTTTAAAAAACAAACTTTTGCTTCTGTTGATTTTCTCTATTGCTCATCTGTTTTCTTTCTCTGATTTCTGCTCTTGTTTTTAATTATTTCCTTTTTCTTCTGGGATCTAGTTTGATCAACTTTTTTCTAGCTTGGTATCTCAGTTGTTTTTAAACCTTCTTTTTAATACAAGCTTTTAAAGCTATAAATTTCCTTCTAAGGACTAATTTAGCTGCAGACAAGTCTGACATGTTTTCATTATCATTCCATTCAAAATATTTTGTAATTTCCCGCATGATTTTTTTTGGAACTGTGTTGCTTAATTTCCAAATACTTGGGGATTTCTTTTTATTTTTTTGTTTTATCTGTAAGTTGATTTCTAGTTAATTCCATTGGACTCTGAGAACATGCTCTCCATGATTTTAGTTCTTTTGAATTTATTGAGACTTGTTTCACACTTCAGAATATGGTCTGTGTTGCTGAAAATTCTGTATTCACCAGAAAAGTTATTTTTTGCAGTTGTTGAGTATATTGTTTTATAAATGTCAACTATGTCAAATTGGTTAATAGCATTTGTGTTTCCTTTCTGTCCTTACTAATTTTTCTCTTTTGCTTTTATCAGTTACTAAGGAAGTAGTTTAAATCTCCAGCTGTAATTGTGAATTTCTCCTTTCCCCCTTTTACCTTGGACGGTTTTATTTCATGTACCCTGGATTTATATTATTAGATGCATACACATTTTGGATTTTTATGACATCCTGATGTACACTGCCCTTCCTTTATCTCTGCTAGTACTCCTCGCCTTAAAATATACCTTGTCTGGTATTAATGTAACCCTGCAAGCTTTTTTATACAAGTGTGTCTCTTGCAAACAGTATGAAGTTGGTTCTTATTTATTTTGGACAGTTGTGATTTTTAAGTGATTTGTTTTTCAGTTTAAAGTAAAATTTGTTGGGGTACCTGGGTGGCTCAGCTGGTTAAGTGTCTGCCTTCAGCTCAGGTAATGATCTCAGGGTCCTGGGATCGAGTCCCACGTCAGGCTCCTTGCTCAGCGGGGAGTCTGCTTCTGTGCCCCTCCCCTGGTTTGTGCTCTCTCACTCACTCTCTGTCTAAATAAATAAATAAAATCTTTTTTAAAAAATAAAGTTTGTTAGCATAAAGTTGTTTGAAATATCACCATATTATCCTTATAAAGTCCATAGGAGCAGATGTTATGTTCCCTGTTTCATTTCTGATATTGATCATTTGTGCATTTTAGCTTTCTTTTTCATCAGTCTTGCCTAGGGGTTTATCACATCTATTAAACTCTTCAAAAAAGCAGCTTTGTATTTGTTGATTCTTCTCTACTTTTCTCTGTTTGTTCATCTGTTCTCTATCAGATGATAGTTTGATAGTTTCTTTTAATTAGAATGTTTAGTCCATTTGGTTTTAATGCCGTAATTAATATGTTGAGTTTGAATTTACCATCGAGGTATTTGTTTTTTATTTGCCTCCTCTGTTTTTTGCTCCTTCATCCTTCCTCACCCTTTAGGTTAATCAAGTGATTTTTTAGTCTTTCATCTTTATTGCCTCTGTTGGCTAATATATTGCTGTATTTCTTTAATATTTTTATTCTAGGGATTATACTGTACATAAATCAATATTACCAACTACGGATTAATAGTATACCATTTCCTGAACAGTGTAAGATGCTCGCAGTGGTATAACTGCGTTTCCCCACTCCCATCCTATCTGCTGTTGCCTTTTATTGTACCATTACATACAAATTCTACTCTATGTTACTTATTTTTATTAATACTATTTTCTTGCTTTAAACACTTAGGCAACTTTTAAAGAAATTAATGGAAAAATAGTGTTTTATATTTATCCATTCTGGTGTTCATTGCTGCTTTTCACACAATCAGCTGTGCATCTAGTATAATTTCAATTTTGATTGAAATCTTTATTTTGCCTTCAGTTTTTTTAAAGGATATTTTTGCTGGATATAAAATTCTAATTTAATAGTTTTTATTTTTTCCTTTCAGCAACTTAAAGATGTCAGTCCAGTATTTCTTGGCTTCCATTATTTTGGCTCAGAAGGCTAGTGTCACTTGAACATAATGTATCTTTTTCTGTGCCTGCTTTTAAGGTTTTTTCTTTTTTTCTCTGTTTTCTAGCAGCTTAACAATAATGTGTCCCAGTGTGGTACTCTTTGTGTTTATTTGCTTTGTATTGGTTACGTTTTTTATATGTATAGCTTGAAGTCTTTCTTCAGTTTTGACCATTATACTTTCAATTTGGTTGTCTGCCCCATTATTTCTTTCTTCTCCTTCTAGGACTACAGTTACATATAAATTAGACCATTCAGGATTTCCTCACAAAGCTTAAATAACTGAGGTTTTCTTCTTTTTCTTATTTTTACCTCTTCTTCAACATGGATAATTTACATTGTTCCATCTTCAAGTTCATTGGTTTTTTCTTTGGCTCTATCCAGTCTTCCTTCCATTAAGCCCAACTTAGTGAACTTTTTGTTTAGATATTGTAGTTTCCAGCTTTAGAATTTCCACTTAGCTCTGATTGAGAGTATCCATTTCTCTGCTGAAATTCCCCATCTGAACCCACTCTGTTCATCCTTTCCTATAAATTAATTTTTGAAGATCTAATTGGCTTTATTAAGTCATATAAATTAAATATTTTTAATAGCTATTTACTATCATAATATCTGGATTATTTCTGGGGCTCTTTCTATTAACTTTTATTTCCCTTATGAATTGACTGTGTCCTCTCTTGATTATGAATCACACTGTCCTGTTTGTGTGTCATTTAATCTTATATTGCCTCCTGGACATTGTGGATTATATCATTGTTCTTTAAAGAATTTTGCATTATGCTCTAACAGGCTGTTGAATCTCCTTGATCCTATGGAAGCTTCATTTTGGGCTTTGTAGCGTGGGTCTGTTGCAGTTTTGGTCTTAGTCCTAGGGGAATGCATGGTCCTTCCTCTTAAGGCAGAGGTTAGAAAACGGTGGCCTGGGGGCAGAATATGGCCTGCTGCCTGTTTTTGTACAGCCCTGAGCTAAGAACTATCTTTATGTTTTTAAATGGTTATTTTTTTTAAGTTGTAATAGGTACTTAACGTAATGTGCTCTAGTTCGCCTCTTAAGCTCACTAAGCCTAAAATAGTTAGTATCTGGCCCTTTACAAGCTTACCAGCCCTTGGCCTAAGGGCATGGCCCTTCTAGGATTTCAACAGAAAGCCTCAGATGTTTGTCTTATGCCTCTGTCTTGTCAGAACTCAATTCCCTGTTCTTTCTACCCAGAAATCTCTGCTAAAATATCTGTTCAAATCGTGAATCTATCAGCTGTTGCTTTCTGTGGGGTTTCTTGCGTCTTGGGCTGTCCATGTACCAATCAGGAGTCAGTCAAGGATTTGAGGGGGATTTGGTAATAGATTCGGGGCTCCTTAATGCAACTCTTTCGCTTTCGCTTTCTAGCCTCTCTGGCATTTTCAAGTTCTGTTTCCTCAGCTCAGTCAGATTCCTGCCCTTGGCTTGAACTCTCCCACCCTGCACCGCTATGAAGGGGGAACCAGTGGCTTCATGTAAAACTCACCTAGTTTGCGTCCCTCTTGAAGAATTATGTGCCCTCTGCTTCAGCCTGTTTCTGGTTATTCTCCAAACACTTGTTTTCATTATTTTGTCTAGAGTTTATGATTTCTTATCAGAAAAGTTAGTCCAGTAAAAGTTCTCTGCCATTACTGGGACCAGAGTCTGCAGAAGTTTGAGGCTGAAAAGAATGAATCCTCACTTCTCAAACAAAGGGAAAAAATGGCTACTCTCTGATTATCGTTATTTGACTGTACCTAAGCAAATCAGCTGCAACAGTGTTCTACCATCTTTTATACACAGTATTAACAATATTGTCTTTGGGTCATAGACCTGTTTCCTTCTGTTTGTGATAAAACAATACTTTGATTAGAGCATTGGCACTGCTGCACATTATTTCCATCCAAGTGGAAAATGAGAAAGTCACCTTTCCATATTGATTGATGGGCTAAGCAGATGTTGCATATGCCTCCCAAGTGATTTTCTGTATAAAGTAAGTTCGTGCTGAGAGAAGAGGCGATGCAAGGCCACACAGCAATCAGGGAGTGAGAGGAGAAGAAGAGTAGAGATGGAAAGGGGGGATGGGCAGTGAGGAAAAATGCTTTTTTCTTCTTAATCCTTCAGCTAGAACTTGAGAAATAGTCTTTGGGATTAAGACATAAGCTTTCTGTGCTTTGATTTCCTGAGCTAACCTGTCAGTTCCCTGGACAGACAACATTCGGTTTAGTTAATGTTACGTGACAATGTAGGCTTATAATTATGACTTTATTCCATCAGAGTTTGTATGAGTTGCTAGTTTTAAAATTCTCTTCTGTAGTGCTTTACTGTGTGATTGATTGCCTTTGTTTTTGCTTTGTTTAGATTGCTCTAAACATCTCAGAAGGGTTTGTTCTACCTAATCTGTTTTAGTAAAGTTCTTTTTAAAAATGGTGTTACTGAGGTAGAATTAACATATTTTTTAGATTGCAGCATGGCAGCTTGGTCCCTTGATGTGACTGTTAGACTGTTTAACAGAGAGCATTCTGATTTTTATTTAATGTTCTACCATGACTCAAATGGATTTTTTTTTCCTCCTAGCTGGCTAGGGCAAAAATAAAGGTGAAGTTCAAATATCTAGTCACAGAAAGGAAGATGTAGATTTTTTATTGTGTCCAATTAAAAAAATTTTTTTTTATTAACCTAGTATTTGTTTTTTGTCTCTGTATAGTTCTTACAGCTTCATTCCCAGGTATTTCTACTCAGTTCAGATGAAAGTACAGTTAGTCTATTGAAGAACGGTTCTCTCCGGGCTGAGTCTGATTTCCAAAGGAATGATCAACACGTTTTCAAGACACTTACTTCAGAATCCCCAGGATTAAATGATAGAACCTCCTGTCCCCACTGGTTTGATATAAATGATTCCAAAGTCCAACCAATCAAGGAAAAAGATATTGAACGGCAGTTTCAGGGTAAAGAAAGTGCCTACATGTTGTTTTATCGGAAATCCCAGTTGCGGAGACCCCCAGAAGGTATGGAAAGAGAATTATTCCTATTTGTTCAAGTTGATGATGTTAGAAGATAAATAATGAATGCTATTTGAATTTTTACCCTTGTAAAAGAAAGTGTATTCTTGGAACATTTTTAAATATTTTCAGGCTAACAGTAAGAAATACATTATGCCTGGGTGGCTCAGTCATTAAGCGTCTGCCTTCGGCTCAGGTCATGATCCCAGGGTCCTGGGATCGAGCCCCACATCGGGCTCCCTGCTCAGTGCGGGAAGCCTGCTTCTCCCTCTCCCACTCCCCCTGCTTGTGTTCCCTCTCTCGCTGTGTCTGTCTGTCAAATAAATAAATAAAATCTTTAAAAAAAAAAATACATTATGCCAAAAGAAATCCAATAATCTGTCATTTTATATTTCTATTTTATTTTTTCCCCTTTTAATGATATAAGGCCATAGTTAGTGTTTCAGATTTGGTTTATCTTGGATTGCATAGTGGTTTCTTGTGTGGACCAACCTGCGTACGATTGCCCTGTGCTTACGCTTGGCTCTGTCATTTGGCCATGTGTTTGTCGCCTCTGAGTTGTCAGTGGCCTTGGTCTTGTTTTCATGTGTGCCCTTTTATTGCCCTCTTTTTTTCTTTCCCTCGAGGTAATTAATGTGTTTTACGAGCAGCTGAAGTATCTTCAAAGCATTCTTTGTTAAACCTGCTAAGACAGCTCATACCAGGCAGGCTAAACACTGAGACCCGCAATGACAAATTTTTTAACTGAGATCACTAACATGAATCAGTATGTAAGCCTTTGGTCACGTCCCAAAGTCTACTCAGAAGTAAAAAATCCTAACCAGGAAAGTTCCTTAGATAGAGGCCTATCTGTAGTTACAAATGAGGACGCTGTTCTTAGAAAATGAGAATAGTAATCATTTTTATAAAGAATAATAAGAGAAAAGAAGTTACTAATTTGTATGTGAGTCAAAGGAAATTAACTTTATGGTACTAAAACAATTACATAATTATTTTGTTTAACCAGAAATTCTAGGCTTTATTTTTCTGATGGGAGAAAAATGTAGTCGTGGCTCTGATGAAAATATTCTGAAGCAGAATTCACAGTTATAGAAATATATATTAACAAGAAAAGAATATGTTCAGATGGGGTATTGTCTTTTTCCCTGCATTGGATTTTAGTATGCGCACGTTTTGACTGTGTACTGAATGGTAATTTTCCATTTAGCTTAGGAATTGAATAAAGGTCTGGCAGAAATCTTGATGGAGTCTTTGTGGGGATAAAGGGACGGAACTTGGCAAAATGATTCTAAAATCCATCTAGAGAGGTAAACGTTCATGAAAACTGAAGAAGGGCCTGCCAAAGGGAATTAACTCCATCAATAAAACCTCTTTGTAGAGCTTCAGCCGTTCAGACAGTGCTGTGTTCATGCAGAGAGGTGGACACATCACTGGGTGGAGGAGAGCCAGCCCAGAAATCCACCCAAGAATTTTTAAGATTTTAGGGGCGCCTGGGGGGCTCAGTCGTTAAGCGTCTGCCTTCGGCTCAGGTCATGATCCCAGGGTCCTGGGATCGAGCCCCACATCGGGCTCCCTG